ACACCACCAGCAGCCCCGCAGCTCAGTGCATTTATTGTATACAGTACCACCAAGGGTTAGACAGTTTATAGAAAGTCTCTGTGGGGAGCCGTCTCAGGCTGCTGGCATCCTCGAGGAGGAAAGAGCCTCAATTGATAACGTCTGAGCTCACTGCTTTTGGCTAATGGTTAAAAGTTCCTCAGCATCAATTCTTGGACCAGAGGAATGTTTTGCCTTTTTCTGGGCATGACCTATGGGGAGGTTCTGCTATTGCATGTTTCTTAGGCACTGGGGTCCTTGATGTGGTTGTGCCCATGTCTACAGTACACATTCATTCAAGATATCATCCGCTCTCTATTGGGATATTTGATCACACTGTGACACCCCAAGACTGTGTTAATAAAGATAACTTGAATCAGGGGGTGGCGCAACTGACTTGCCAACCGGAATAAGCCATAGAGAATGGATATGAATATCCATAGGACTATGGATAGAGAAGGCACACAGGAAGGAGTAGGGAGGGACTTAGCATCTTATGGTCTCTTTGATCTGGGAACAGCCAGAGGCATCTGAAAGAGCCCAGCACAGAGAGAAAGTGGACTGAACCTGGGCAGGAGAGAAGCAGGAGCAGAGCAGAGAATTAGAGGGAAAGAGGATAGAGAAAGTATCTGACCATAGCAGGGCTGTAGGGAGAATGAGTAGCTGGGGAGCCAATGCCTAGGAGCTGGAGGGAGTGTAGGGTGGGAGAGGAGGAAGGATGCTAGCTGGCATGGACTTCCAAATGTGTAACAGGTACTTATGATACTGAGGACCCTGGAGGCCTGCAAGTGCTAATAGGCACCACGGGTAGCCATTCGTCTCTTCTGCCAATGATAAGGGAAATAACTTCTTTTGGTAGAAGAAAATGGGCTTCCCAAGTTCCTGGCGAATACTGGCTTTTATCTAACCAGAAATACTCCTTTACAGCCCAGGCCTTCCTTTTGAATCTGGGGAATTGGAGTTTCATTCGGACCTGACAGACACAAGCTGGGGTCACCTGGGAAAAGGAACCTCAATTAAGAAAATACCTCTACCAGATGGCCAGAAGACAAATCTGTCGGGCATTTTTTAAATGAATGATTGTTACATTGTCTGGTGTCATCCTGGGGCAGGTTCTAAACCAGCTATCTGGAACAAGCCAAGAAGCAGCACTCTTCCCTGGTCTCTGGTTTGGTTCCTGCCTCCAGGTTCCTGTCCTGACTTCCCTCAGTGACAGACTGTGACTGGAAGAGCTATAAAAAGAAACCCCTTCCTCCAACCATACTATAAATCAGTCATGTCCTCACCTTATACAGTGTTATGGTGACAAAAAACTAGCCAGCATACCTGTTTTTTTTTTTTCTTTTCGGAACCTCATTTGAATTCACCATCCTGCTGCCCTCACATCTTAGGTGTTGGGATTGGGTTTTTGTGTGTGTGTATGTGTTTGTTTGTTTATTGCTTGTTTGTTTGGGGGCACCTGTGGGAATTAAACCTAAACCATGGGTGGGTGTTGTATGCTAATAAGGCTCTCAACCACTGACTACTATACTAGGCCACATCCTGACCCCTTCCTCCTTTTTTCTTCTTCTTTCTTTTCCTCCTCTTTTCTGCTCCTTCCTTTATTTTGGTGCTAGAGGTTGAGCCCAGGACTTTGAGCATACAAAGCACACACTGAACTACATCTGGAAGTTTAAATTTCCCCTCATCTTAATTATATGCTTTTCTAATTATGCAGGACTTTGGAGCTGACCTTGGGCCCTGTGCTTGCTGGGCAAGCTCTCTACCACTGAGCTATGCTCCAGTCCCTATCCTGAGCAATTTTATCTAAAGAGAATGGGAAGCTTTAAAAACCACCTCAAATAGAAGTTTCTCTGACCTTCCCTGGTCTCTGTTCTTCTCTCCCTCCTTCCCGGGAAGGGGTACTCAGTAATATTCCCTCACCTGCCCAAAGTTCACACTCAACAGAGAAGCAATCACTTTTGGTCCTTTTTTGGACCTTCCATCACTAATCCCACACCACAGGAAGATAGAAGTCAATCAGTCAGTCCACCTGGACAGACCAGTCACAGGCCTTTGTTCTCCAGTTTGTTACAAGAATCATTGACCAACCACCATCTGTAAGCCAAACAGATCTTGCCTTAGGCTATTGGATAGTCTCCAAGCTTACTGTGTTAGCCTAAAAAGCTACACCTCCTGGGTTCTTTATCCTACTTTCCCATAGAATAAGGGGTGTGTGTGTGTGTGTTGTATGTATGTGGTGTATGCATACAAGTATGCAGGCATGTTTACCCATGTGTACGGATACAGAGGCCAGAGCAGGACTTCTGTGTCTTCCTCTATTGGTTCCGCCTTGTTTCCCTGAGACAGTCTTCTCTAGACTAACTGGCCAGTGACCTCTCCCAGTTCATCCATCTCTGCCCTCTAATGTTACAGTGACAGGCATGCGCAGCTATGCATTCTTGGCTTTTTCCATGGGTGCTGGGATTTGAACTCAGGTTCTCATGTTCGCAGAGCAAGCTTTCTTACCCACTGAGCCATGTATCCCCAGCCCAGAACTAAGATTTAAATTCTCCTTTGTGTATTAATTCATCTAGGCATCTCTGCCTTAATATTTATTTATTTGATTTTTATTTATTGGTATTATATTTGTAGCATTTTGTTTCGTTTGAGGCAGAGTCTCATAGAGCCCTAGCTGGCCTCAAACTTACCAAGTAGCCAAGGATGACTTTGATTGCCTAATCCCCTTACCCTCAGCTCCTGGGTGCTAAGATTATAGCTGTGCTTGCTCTTCTAGCACACCAGCTAGGGCCTTCTGCTGTCTCTGTCTGTCCCCTTTGCTTTGGATCAACCTTCTGCTAGACTATGTTAGGCATGGGACTCGCTCAAGGAATGTCTGTCTACCAAACCCATCCCACAGTCTCTAAGAGTGAGAGAGGCATGTAACTGCCAGCTCTTTCCATGTGTTTCCCCTCCTCTTACAGCGCCTAAGGTCTCCAGTCCTCTCCCAAACATGTGATCAGCTTGGATTCTGGGAATAGCCAGAATTCCTGTGAGATGAGAACAGTTCTCCAGTCGGTGAGGCTGACCATGAGATTGTGCTTTGGCCGGGAATGCTGCATTGTGCACACTCTTGTCTCATACTTCAGTTCTTCCTCCGTTTAAACCTAAAGCTTGTGCCCATCCCTGACCAGCTTCCCAAAGTATTGCTTAGACCTCTTCTTCTGCTTGCCAACATTTCTCATTTGTTTAATTGGCATATAGGGATGGGTGGCTGAGCCTAGCTTGTTGGCGCTGGAGCTAGGGCCACTGTCCTAAAACACCATTTACATGCAGATATAGTAAGAGTTCTTTTTAAATATAATTTACTTATTTTTATTTTATATGCATTAGCATTTTTGCCTGTATGTTCCCGGAACTGGAGTTACAGACAATTTTGAGCTGCCATGTGTGTGCTGGGAATTGAACCTGGGTCTTCTGGAACAACAGCCAGTGCTCTTAACCACTGAGCCATCTCTCTGGTCCCAGTATAAGAGTCCTTATATAACAAGTTCCCATTAACCTGTTGTCAATATCTGGTGTTCTTTATACCATGGTTTCTGGGGGAGGCTGGAGAATTACTTGCTTCTTCGCGGGTCTGATCGTACCTGTCAATTCCATTTTCCATTGGGAGTGAACGCTAATCATGAGGTTGACTGGATGAAGAACTGAAGGGGGAGAATCTGTCCCCCAAACACTGACCTCCAAGTGCATGACCTTCAAGGAGGTGTTTCTCACCAGCTCAGCAGATCTACCAGAAGACCCATGTGCTCCTCACTCTATCAGGTTACCGCCCGTCTGCTTGTCTGTGAGAATTAGGATTGCAACTATAACAGAATTAAAATAAAGCCCCAAGGTCAGCGGTGGACATCAAAAAGGACTGATGTAGGCAGCAGGGTCGAAAGACAGGTGCAAGCCTGCCAGGCTAGGAGATTTTTCTCTCAATAAGTGGACCATGTTAAAATAGCATCTCTTCCCCCCCGCCCTTCCACTCCCGATAACACATCAGCATCTCTTCACATTCGACTGTCATATTTTCTGCAACAGCTGTCACTGGATTGATGACATAAGCATCCTTTCTGGTTTTCGTTTGGAGACAAGTTCTGTCCTCTGGACAGTTTCAAGCATGGAAATGTATTTTGGGCTACCATTTTCTTCTTGGCGGCACCAAGAATAAAATCTGAAGGAAACCAGAGTTTCTGTCAAGAGGCTCTGAGGAACACTGCTTGTTGGCAGTGTCTCGAAAATCTCTTAACCCAGATCTTGACAAGGTGAATATTCATGACTGTGACCTGGAAGGCTGCAAACCAGAGGAGAAGAAAGAAGCCTTGTCACAGGAGAACTTGCAGAAAACTAGGTCAGCATAAGGGCTGCTGGAGGAATCAGCTACCTCAACAACAAACACCCGAACATCCCAAGGTCACATGCTAGAGGACCTCAAAAGTTCCCAACTTGCCTACTGCCTCTATTTCTGCGATCAGTTTGATAATATAGTGGCTTTTATGTCTCAGCTCACCTGGTCCATCAACACTACCTCCCTTTGGCACAGTGGTCCTCAACCCTCCTAGTGCTGTGACCCTTATGTTGTGATGGCCCCCAACCATAAAATTATTTTGGGTGCTATTCATAATGTAATTTTGCTACCGTTATGAGCTATAATGTAAATATCTGATATGTCACCTCTATGGGGTCATGACCCACAGGGTGAGAACCACTGCTTTGGCAGGTAAGTTACACTTTTTTTAAAAAATTTTCTTTCTTTCTTTCCTTCCTTCCTTCCTTCCTTCCTTCCTTCCTTCCTTCCTTCCTTCCTTCTTTCTTTCTTTCTTTCTTTCTTTCTTTCTTTCTTTCTTTCTTTCTGACAGTGTTACAGGAAAGAATGGAATCGGCCTCTGGGTGGAGACCTTCTATGTTCTCTTCCCTTAAGAGTTAATCCAGACCGCTGCAGCCCCACGTTCAGCGCCATGCCCAAAAGAAAGGCTGAAGGGGATACTAAAGGAGATAAAGCCAAGGTGAAGGACGAGCCACAGAGAAGATTGGCAAGGTTGTCTGCTAAACCTGCTCCTCCAAAGCCAGAGCCCAAGCCTAAAAAAGCCCCCGCAAAGAAGGGAGAGAAGGTACCCAAGGGGAAGAAGGGGAAGGCCGATGCTGGTAAGGATGCCAATAATCCTGCAGAGAATGGAGACGCCAACACAGACCAGGCACAAAAAGCTGAAGGTGCTGGAGACGCCAAGTGAAATGTGTGCGTTTTTGATAACTGTGTACTTCTGGTGACTGTACAGTTTGAAATACTATTTTTTATCAAGTTTTATAAAAATGCAGAATTTTGTTTTACTTTTTTTTTTTTAAGCTATGTTGTTAGCACACAGAACACTTCATTGTTTTGGGTGGGGAGGAACATGTGTCCCTAGCACTGTCTCCCAAGCTGGATGAATGATGGTTCATGATGGAAAACATCTTTCCCTGATAATTTTGAAGACTCCTCTTGGCTCCCAGGAGAGACCCCCTGGGGACATGTTGACATGTGTGGCCACCATGGCACAATATGCCTTGTGTGGGAAAACTCAGTTCATTTTTATATCCTCCTCCCCTGTACCATCAACATAGACTTAACTCCCTTAAGACCAGAGACCTGTTGGAACCTGATCCCCAAAATTGGTTTTGCCAGTCTGTTGGGCAATCCGGACTTTGCAGTGATACCATTGAGTGTCCTCAAAAGCGCAGCGGTTCCTTTTATAGAAGATTGTGGATCTGCACATTGATAATTCTGCCATTTTCATTTCATTTCCTGAAAGTCAGGGTCGGCTTGTGAAGAGTTGTGAAACAACATCCTCGATGTGAAATGTCAGCCCTCACTCTAAACTCCTCCCCTTTTGCAGAGCATCCAATGGAGACTCACCGGGTTTTATGTCAGCCCTCACTCTAAACTCCTCCCCCTTTCAGAGCATCCAGTGGAGACTCACCGGGTTTTATAGTGGCTTTCTGATTTTGGTAGTCGATACAAGAAGGGAGTTTGGAAGTTCTTGTATACTGTTACTGATTGTCTGCCCATGTTCTGCCTGGACAACCATGATTGTTTATGGAAAGTGTCTTTAATAAAGCTGGATACAGTTTGGCTTGGAAAAAAAAAAGAGTTAATCCAGTTGAACAGGTCAAACCTCTGGCCAGCAGACCCCCCAGTCAGAGAAGCACCCCCCTTAAACCATGCTAAAGTGATAGAAGAAATAATTACTCCTTAAATGGGACCACAGCTCGGCCCACAGCAGCTCGTGATCTATCTCCCTTGAGATCTGACTGGCTTTGCCAGCTTTTCTGATTTTTGGCTAGGAAAGGTGTAATCATTCTTTCGTTCTTCTCTTGTCTTTTTCTTTTGGTTGCTGGCCAAGCCCAAGTGTCTTTCTCTGCTACTTTGAGCAGGTACACTCTTTGCCGAAAGCCCCCTCCCAGCCCTGTGGCTGTTTAACACCATGGGTACCGGCTGACCTCAAATGCTGTGGCTTCTCTTCTTTGTTCTCCTCCTCTGCATGGCTACTAAGATTTATAGCTTGCCTGTTCTGGGGCTTTTCTTTTAATATTTAATATGGCTCTGGAATGACAGACATGGTGGTACTTACCTTTGATCCCAGCATTTTGGAGGTAAAAGCAGATGAATCTCTGAGTTTGAGGCCAGCCTGATCTATACAGCAAGTTTAGGATAGACGGGGCTACATAGAAAGACCCTGTCTCAAAACAAACAAACAAACAAAAACCCTGAGGCTTCTGTTTGAGTCTGTTCTTAAATTCTTTTATTAATGAGACTAAGAACCAAGGAGTGGACCCTGATTTTACCAATGTCAGCAAGGTCTCATATAGCATAGGCTAGCCCCAAGCTTGCTGTGTAACAAAGGCTGGCCTTGAACTCCCAGTCCTCCTGCTCCCACCTCTGGAGTGCTGTGAGGATTACAGGTAGAGCATAACACTGGGCTTCTCTAAGTGTTCTGACTGGTAGAATTTTGCACCATCTGCACCTCAAAGGTCTCATGGAGGCTGACAGGAATGGTTGGATGTGGATGGGCTCCCCTTAAAACTGTCTTTTCAGTCTGGTGTTAAATTTTGACCACCTGTAAAGTCATTCCTTTGCTCATTCATTCACTTACTCAGTGACATTTTGCTTCCTTCCCTATCTCCATATCAACACAGAAGGAGAAATTAAATGGGTAATTTGAAGACAGTTTAGGAAAAGCACTGTTTTAAAACTTCAGGTGACTCGAGATGTGTTGGCCCACACCTATTGTCACAGCACTCGGGAAACTGCAGCCGAGTTGGGAGGTGGAGGCCATGCTGAGCTGCACACATAGCTATATTTGGACCAAAAAGCTAAGCTGCGCCTTGGTTTGGTGACTTGCAATCCTCCTACTCTGGAGACAGAGGCAGAAGTATTATTGCAGATAATTCGAGAGCAGTCTGAGAGAGTGCCTCAGTGGTACATAAGGGATCCCGTGAGATCACAGATAACCTTGTCACTCTTATCTGTCAGCACAGGGAGCATCTGTGAGACAGCCAGTCTTCAAGATAATCTCGCCTTGGACAAGCAGTTTCAGGAAGGAGAACCTGCGGAAGAGATGCAGTTGCGATAATTTCCTCATTCTTGCTACATTGTACTGTGGCAGAGGGCAATGCAGGAAAGACGAGGTTTGCATGCGCCAGCTCTTCTCTCTTTCCTTACAAAGCTACAGATGTCATCATCAGACATCCACACCCCACCCGGAATCACTAATTACCTCCCAAAGGCCCCCTGCTCAAAATATCACTAATGTATGGATTTGGAAATTAATTTCTAACACTTGAATTCTTGGGGCACATAACCAAATTGTACTATGGTGCATCAAATATAATATATTTTTCCATCATGTTCATTCATATCTGTTTTCATTCATTCATAATCTTGTCTAATGAGGGAGCGGGGGAAGGTATTTTGTTTGCAATGTCTAAAACAGCCCAGCATCTGTATGCCATCAGAGTTTGATGGGTGGCCTCCATACAGTCGAGGACATTCAGCTTCTGCCTGCTTGTATGTGGACCGTGGGCCACTTTATGCGTCCTTTGTGTCACTTGTCACTCACGTAAAATCAGTCACTGAATCCAGACTCTCTGGCCTGCCTTCTCTCCTCTCTGCCATCCTCCTGGTTCTTGCTTACTTGCCTATGGCTCTCATGCACGATGGATGGGATTCCTTTTGCTGTTGGCTCCTCTCCCTCCTCTCTGCATACACAAGCTCAGATGGAGAGCAAAGTCAGGATTAGGAGGAGGGTCTTAAAAGTGGCTGTGGTGTGGCATGTGTAGACACGGTCCATCTTAGAGTGCAAGCAGTGATGGCATGTCCAAAATGAATCCATAAAACTTGATGCTCCCGAAGAAGGAATTAAGAGTGAGGATACAGAGGTCATAAACACAGCAGAGTCCTGGAGAAAGTCGGAAACCAGGACTTAGCTATAGTAAATGGTTCTATCCCTTGGGTCAGTACTCAAGAAAAGTCTCTGCACAGATATACCACTTAGCTAGATGTGGTGGTACACACCTGTAACCCCAGAACTAAGGGGTTGGAGAAAGGAAGATGAGAAGTACAAAGTCATTTTTAGTTACATAGTGAGTTTGAGGCCAGCCTGGGCTACATGGTATAGAAATGAGCTTGATTCGGGAAATAACCAAGCTAGCTAATGGATAAAACAATTATATTTTTATTTATTATAAGGGGAAAACTTGCGAAACAGGAATGAGAAGTCCAAGCTCAGCTGTGTCCCAGGGGAATGAGAGAGAGAGAGAGAGAGAGAGAGAGAACCTGGGCCTCGCACCCTGGTCCCAGAAAGCCACACCTTAACTTGGAACCACCTCTTAAAGATAATTGGCTAACAAGGTTTCCCCATCAATGTGAGACTCTGCCTCAACAAAACAAACAAAAGAAAACAAAACAAAAATATTTATAAGCTAGATGCCACAATTCATACCTGTAATTCCAGCACTTGGGAGGGAGGTTGAGGCAAGGAGCAAGCCTGAGCTATGGAATGAGACCTCCCTGTCTCTAAAGAAAAAAAAAGGGGGGGGATCTGAAAAGATGTTTTGTCAAAAGACTCTAGCACAAAACAGAGGTCCCTTTTGTGCAGGGAACCAGCATGGTTGCTTGTTTGCACAGGAATGAGTGAGTATGGGTGGATTTGGAGACTGCTCCCCCAGAGAGGACACACTAAAGAGGGATGTCAGGGACAATGAAGAAGAGACCACACCTGGTTCTGCTGGGCTCCAGCCCCCTGCTTGGAGCCATGAGTGCTAGAAGCCAAAGAACTGAATTAAGGAGGGAACATTTAAGATTAGAGCATGAGCTTGGCGACTCTGTACCACAGGGGAAGCAAGCAGACCTGCAAGAAGTGGGGGCAGCTCTTCCTGCATCCCCATTGACCTTGGTAAAAATCAGCATCCCATAGTGTAGGACCAGAGCAGAGCAGGAGTCAGATTCTTTCTGGAACTTTCTTGGGCAGTGTTCCTTGAGAAGCAAAGAAGAGAAGTAAGGCAAGTGACCACCCCTGAGATGTGTGACCTTGGGACCAATGGGGCTTAGAGAAAGAACTGGATTGCCGTGAGAGTCAAGTTGTCATGTGACTTACTAAGGACTTGTAGTTACTGCAACTATGGCTTAGTAAGAACACTGAGATTTGTTCTGTCTGGTTCCCAGGTAGGAGAAGACCAGGGTGCAATCTGTTACTTCTGGTCTACCAGGGTGTAACATGAGGGTGGGCTTGTTGGGGTTTCTGTCCTGCCTGGTACCCCAGAGCCAGCAAGCCCCAAAGAAAACCACACAGAACTCTCATAAGTTACAAACTGATTGGCCCATTAGCTCAGTTTTCTTATTAGCTCTTGTAGCTTATATTAACCCATGATTCTTATCTATGTTAGCCACATGGCTCAGTACCTTTCTCAGACGGGCAGGTTACATCTTGCTTCTTGATGGTCTGGGCAGGAATGTGGAGGGAGCTTCCTGTTTCCCAGGATACTCCTGTTCTCATCGCCCTGCCTCTATTTCCTGTCTGGTTGACCCACCTATACTTCCTGCCTGGCCAATCAGCATTAATTTAAAACATGATTGACAGAATACAGACAATTCTCCTGCACCACCAGGGTTCTGTTGAGTTGCTTGGTTTGTGGAAGGGAAAAAATTCAAAGCTCAAAGGATGAAGAATGTACTCAGGCATAAAATGGGGGGCACCTGGGAAGAAAAAGAAGGGGGTTTGAAAGCACAGAAAGTTTCCAATTGTACCACCCCTGTGTTTCAGTCACATGTGAGGTACTGGTGAGGGTCTTCCCCTGAGCTGCAGACTGATGAGTTATTCTGTCCTGTGGCAGAAGGAGATAGAACTAGGTCTATGCCTCTACCACCCCCCCGCCGTGTGTGTGTGTGTGTGTGTGTGTGTGTGTGTGTGTGTGTGAGAGAGAGAGAGAGAGAGAGAGAGAGAGAGAGAGAGAGAGAGAGAGAGAGAGATCTCACACTGAACCTGAAGTTTGCTGGTTAGGCTGGACCAGCTGGCCGGCAAATCCTAGGGGTCTCCCTGCTGCCGCCTCCTCAATGTCAGGATTACTTAGAT